ATCCCGAGGCTGGAAACCCGACGAGGACCCACGAAAACGTCCGAAATTTTCGACCTCGAACAAACCTCGCTCCCCCCCTAAGCCAATCCCTCTCCACTCTGCCTCTCCCTCACCCTTCCTGCTCTGCCCTTGGGGGGTCCTCGCGCCAGCCCTCGTCGGCACAGGCCTCCCTCTGCAGCCTCGCGGGGACCAGGAGCGACGGGGGATGCACGGCGTAGCAAGTCCTCGTCCCCTGTAGGGCACCGGCATGTCACCGGGGGAGGTCAATCCTACAAGTCCTGTCGCAATTAACATAACGCCGCCGAATGGCCCTTGGCGATGCGTCATCGCTGAGCGTTCCCTTCAAACTTCATAGGCGTATTGTATACTCTATGTTGCGGCCCCTTCAACGTTGACGGGCGCGCTGGGCTCTTGGCCGAATGCCTCCCCGCCCGCGCACCTCGGTGCGCTGGCTTCCACTTCGGAGGGCGGGGCAAGCTTCCCGCGGCGCGACTGCAACCCCACCAGCCCCTAACAAGATGTTTCTTTCCTCTTCCAAAGACTGAGAATTTTCTTAGGGTGGATGGCTCAGGGTGAAATCCATATTGGCTTTCGCACCTCGAAAATCAATCCGTCTTGTGATTCACGTCTTGCAGACTCAAGCCCCAGAAATCCACCCTTTGCCCTCCACCCAAAGAAAATTATCGAAAATTTCCCTGCGACGTACCCAACCCAATGGCATCAAGTGGCAAGCGGAGTAGGGAAACATTAGCAGGAACCGTGACAGTGCAGGCGCGGCGATTTCTAGTGCGACTTACATGGGATGCGTAATGTTGCACGACTCACAGAACAGCAATCGATAAGACGAGGAGTACGTCTCAAGGCTTGTTAAACAATAGCGCGGGCGGGAACGAGGGACAGGAGAAGGACGAACCCAGTAGGAAAGGGCGAGGAGCCATCGCAGCAGCAGCACCACCATGAATGCATAAGGTAACAGGAGGACTAGGGCGGCGATGATGAAAGAGGAGGGAGGAAGCAAGAGACTGCTTCGTTTTTGCAGGAGCTCGGTCAACGCACGCCTGCTGCCTGTCCACAGGATCATACCTGTTTACATCTAGTGCAGGAAGCGATCGAGACCTAGCTCGCGCGCCAGCTGCTCTGCCTCCGTCCTGCATGTTGCAGTGCGGGAATTGAACTTCCGCAGTTTCTCCGCAAGTTCTGCCGGTGGGCCGCGGGCAAGAAAGTCAAGGCCGGGGTCGCGCACCATCAGTAGGTTGTCTGTCGTCGTCGCCCTGGACAGCATCACGTAGAGGTGCAGCCACAGCACCCAGGTCGTTCGCATCCTTGCACCCTGCGTCAACAATGACTCCGCGGTGCATGGTGCGGCCCTGGCAGGCAGTGGACGTCAGGACCTCGGCGTGGGAGATGACGAAGCCAGTGCGCGTGACCTTGTACTTGCGGAAGTCGAACGGGCTCGAGCTCTGTGGCTCGATGAAGACGAGGCCCGCTGCGTTCGCAGCGTCGATGCTGTCATCGAGCTCCTTGAGCTTCTTTCCGCAGGAACCACCCTTGTACTTGTCCATGCGCACCCGCACGCCGTACGGCAGGTACCGCAGGTACGGCGAGGTCTAATCTGAGTCTGCGTGGTGCCTCACTCCGCTGGACCCACCAGCAGCCCTCGAAAGTGGTGACCGTTTCGCAGATCGCAGACCCCCAGGGATGGCGAGGTCTAATCTGAATCTGCGTGGTGCCTCACTCCGCTGGACCCACCAGCAGCCCTCGAATGTGGCGACAGTTTCGCAGATCGCAGCCCCCCAGGGATGGCGAGGTCTAATCTGAATCTGCGTGGTGCCTCACCCCGCTGGACCCACCAGCAGCCCTCGAATGTGGCGACAGTTTCGCAACCAGCAGCCCTCGAATGTGGCGTCAGTGTCGCAGATCGCAGCCCCCCAGGGATGGCGAGGTCTAATCTGAATCTGCGTGGTGCCTCACTCCGCTGGACCCACCCTCAGCCCTCGAATGTGGCGACAGTTTCGCAGATCGCAGCCCCCCAAGGATGGCGAGGTCTAATCTGAATCTGCGTGGTGCCTCACTCCGCTGGACCCACCAGCAGCCCTCGAATGTGGCGTCAGTGTCGCAGATCGCAGCCCCCCAGGGATGGCGAGGTCTAATCTGAATCTGCGTGGTGCCTCACTCCGCTGGACCCACCAGCAGCCCTCGAATGTGGCGTCAGTTCGCAGATCGCAGCCCCCCAGGGATGGCGAGGTCTAATCTGAATCTGCGTGGTGCCTCACTCCGCTGGACCCACCAGCAGCCCTCGAAAGTGACGACAGTTTCGCAGATCGCAGCCCCCCAGGGACGGCGAGGTCTAATCTGAATCTGCGTGGTGCCTCACTCCGCTGGACCCACCAGCAGCCCTCGAAAGTGACGACAATTTCGCAGATCGCAAACCCCCAGGGATGGCGAGGTCTAATCTGAATCTGCGTGGTGCCTCACTCCGCTGGACCCACCAGCAGCCCTCGAAAGTCGAGGTCTAATCTGAATCTGCGTGGTGCCTCACTCCGCTGGACCCACCAGCAGCCCTCGAAAGTGACGACAGTTTCGCAGATCGCAGCCCCCCAGGGATGGCGAGGTCTAATCTGAATCTGCGTGGTGCCTCACTCCGCTGGACCCACCAGCAGCCCTCGAAAGTGGTGACAGTTTCGCAGATCGCAGCCCCCCAGGGATGGCGAGGTCTAATCTGAATCTGCGTGGTGCCTCACTCCGCTGGACCCACCAGCAGCCCTCGAAAGTGGCGACAGTTTCACAGATCGCAGCCCCAAAGGGATGACGTAAAAGGCAAGAGAGAAGAGGAGGAGCGAAGAGAGGAGGAGAAGGGAAGCAAGAGAGGAGGAGCGAAGAGAGGAGAAGGGATGCAAGAGAGAAGAGGAGGAGCGAAGAGAGGCGGAGAAGGGAAGCAAGAGAGGAGAGGAAGAGGGAAGAGAGGAGGAGGAGGCGGGAAGGAAGGAAGGTGGAGGCCGCAGTGCTCTATTCAAAACGAGTACCCAACGCAGGAGGGTTGGGAAAAACCTCTTCCCCTCACTGAGGTTTTTTGGGGGGTCGCGAGATGTCAGGGCTTTTTGTTCGCCCAAGATGGCTCCAAGAGGGTCTCTTATGCTCCAAGATGGTCCAAGGCGCCTCAAGATAGCCGAAGATGACTCAAGACAGCTTCCGACATGCCTCCCAAAGGCCCGACCCGACGAGGGCCGCAAGACGGCTCCAAGTGCTCTCGGAGCCCCCTCAAGACGCCCCGAAGCGGAAAATGTGATTCAAAAACCTTCAGAAACCAATGATTTTGGCCTTCTCGCATTTTCGCTTGCGCTGCGCTATTCAGGCCTGAAGATGGCCCCAAGTTGGCCCAAGAGAGACCCAAGATGGGCCCAAGATCGCCTCAAGAGCGCCCCAAAAAGGGCCCCAAGGGGCCGTTTCGAGTGCCCCAGATGGCGAACCAAACGTTAGAACCCCTCTTTTGACCGACGCCTCCCACGATATCCCCAAGATGCCCTCCAGGGCTCCCAACACGCCCCCAAGAGAGGCTCAACAAGGGCGCCTAGCTTCGCGTTTCGCGCGCTCTCGCGCCGCCCCCCAGGGGAGAAGCGGAAAATGAGGAGAAATCAGAGTCGAACCGCGAAGCGCGAAGCGCGAATAACTTCGCGCCCTCGAGAGCGCCCCTGCTTAAGAGGGCCCCGAGAAGGCCCCAAGACCCCCAGAAGAGTCCCAAGAGGACCCAAGGATCCACGCATAAGAGCCCCAAGAGGGCTCCAAGAGGCGATTTGTGAGTGTTTTCCTCGCCCTCGTTGTCCTCCTCCTTCTCCTCGTCCTCGTCTTCGTCCTTGGCCTCTTCGTTTTCCTCCTTCCTCTTCGTCGTCGTGGTCATTGTTGTCTTACTCCTCCTCATCCTTGTCCTCCTCCTCCTCCTTCCCTCGCGCCCACGCGGGCCCCAGGGATGGCCCGAACAGGCCTTCCAAGACAACCCCCTTGCTCCAGAGATCTCTCAGTACACCGTGGTTGCCCGCTTTTCTTCACTATATGTGCCTCTTCGTCCAACTCCCAGTCAGCCCTCATGGGCAAGGTTTCTGAATGGGCTGGTGGGGATACTTTTTTGTTCGCAACCGCAAGCGGACAGCCGCGCGGCGTCGTGAAGTTGTGCGAAGAGCGCAAGCCGGTGCAAGAGCACAGCGCAACTGTCGCCGCCGAACGCGGCAACGCTGGTGGGGATACGCAAGGAGCAAACAATTTTGTCTCGTTCATTGTGACAGGATGTGTAGCATCTGACACAGGGCCTGCGTGTGGTTAGGAGACAGCTTATGGAAGGTCTTCGTGGCAACGATTAAAGAATACAAAGCCTGATTGAGCCGCACCTAAGCAAGAGATGGGCAAAGATAAAGCTCAATATGAAACCGACTAAACCTACGTCAACAAGATCACACAGAATTGTGCCAGATTGAACAAGTTTCCACCAGGAATATATCAGAGCCGATGATTTCGGTTGACCCAAAGGGGGGTCCAGCTGAAAGGGGGTGGTGCCATAGTTTTGGGGCAATTGTATTGCAAATGTATTGCGACGGAGCATTGTATTGCATCGTGTTGCATCTAATGCGTTGCACGCGAAATTTCAGCAACACATTTGCGCACTGGAATGCAATGCACGCCCCAAATCTGCCTCAACCCCACGAATCTATTGCACCAAATATTTTGCACCACCCCCTTTCAGCTGGTCAAGCACAGTGATGACGCTAGCCCCCCCAGAGTTGCACCCTGACTGTGGGCATGAAGCCCCCCGTGCTGCTCGAGACCGAAACATCTGGGGCTCGGGCGCCATCCAAGGAGGAGGCGCAAGACTACTGTTCAGGGGACCCAAATTTTGACCGACGGGACCGTCAGAAGAACGACGAAGAACCCGCCGCTATGCTGGTAGGCGCTCAGTGGAGTGTCCTCAGGTCCCCCCGAGACCTCTGCGTTTTTTTGTGGCAAGGGTGCCCAGTCTCAAACTACTATGCGTATACTTAATGGCACAAGGGCGCGTCACTTTGGGACATGGCCCACTCGCTTGCCTTCGCAGTCCCGCGCCTCCCACATCTGCACATCAGCTGCTGGCAGTCTTGGGCACTTCTGGAAGACAGCATGGCGGCACTTCGGCCGCCTCTTGTCCGTGAGGTGGCGGACAACGCGGAATCGTTCTTTGAAATATGTGAGACATTCAGGGCAGACGCCGCTATCGCCAAAATAATGTTTAATTGGCGCTGTTTCATTGTGGACCTTGCGGCAGTGCGCAAGATAAGCCTTTTCCGTCGCCCATGCGAGGCCGCACCGGCAACATGGGAAGTTCGCTGCTAGACCCACTTCTGGGGCCTGCGGCGCGACAGTCCGATCGAGGATGGACTCATAAAAACAAATATTCTGCACCCACGAAAGCGCCGGCGTTGAATAGAGTAGAATCCGCCGGCCCACTTGCGGGGCCATCAGGCTGCGAGGCTTAAGCTTGCTGCTCCCTGCACCAGTTCCAGTTTCCAGTTTCCATTGTTACAGTACTGCTTTCTGCTTCCTACTGTAAATTGTTTGCATCATCTTTTTTCCAGCATCTGCTTGAGGAACGGAGCCTGGCACAGGACAGCTTTGGCAGGCGGCAAAGGCCTGCAGCAAAAGAGAATTCTGGAGGCAACGGGCTGGCATTGGGAGCCAGAAAGACTATGGAGCAGGGCTGAAACGGAACTGCGCGATGCAAACTCATTCAACAACGTACATGCATCATCTGTTTTCCAGTATCTGCTTGAGGAACGGAGCCCGGCACAGGACTGCTTTGGCAGGCGGCAAAGGCCCATCTACAACAAAGCACAGTACCCATCAGCAAGCATTGCACTGGCTTAGCCGCGAAGCAACATCCATTTTCGGGAGACCATCCTGGCGACAATCGTTTGCGAGAACATTCGAGCAAGTTGCCTGCAGATGGCGTCGGGATAGGCGGCCTTTTGGTGAGTGCGGAAGTAAGTGGCACCGCTCTCTTTCCCAGACAGCTCAAGATGAGGCTGACCTGAAAACTCGCACACGCCACGGCCATGACATGTCATAGACAAGAGAGAAGGGGAGGGGCGACAATGCAAGAATTGGAACTTAGTGCGAGCTCGAAAGGGCCGACCTGCAGCACACTGGTCAACAATTGCTTCGAAGAAAAAAGGAGAGTGATGGCGGCGAGTTCTGTCCGGAAAATGCCAAAGCCAACTGCTGCAGGGATTCTCTTCACCGACAGGGATGCCAAACTTTGCAGCTAGCTGCCAGATTGACCCGCTCGGGAGGCGAGCAGGTTGCCAAGCTCAAGCTTGGCCTGATCGGCAGCAGCTAAGTTTGGCAAGCCAAAGATGTGTGAGCCGTCACGAAGGCGCCGAGGCATGCGAGAAGCAGGGCCGCCTCGTCGCGCTCGAGAAAGCGACTCACAAGGCGTGCCCATGAAAATAGCCTTGACTTTGCCGCTGGCAATCCAGCCGCGAAGCACAGCCCAAGGCGCAGGCTGGGCAAGATCAAACTCTTGCCCGTGCAGGACATCCCATTCAATGACTGCATGCCCTGCCTGTCGCAAGTGTCGCGCATGGTTGCCAGAGCCACTGAAGAGTTCAATGAAAATGCGGGAGTCATGACCTTTGCTATTCATCACAGCTGAGGCGAGCACTGCTTGCAGGCGGCGTCGAGTCCAGCGGCCAAGCGTTGGATCTCCTGCCGCTGGTGGGCTGGAATCTTCATCCACTCGATCGACACTCGCCCGTGCTTGTCGTAGCGCCGCGCGCTGTTGAAGGCGCGCCAGTTTCCTCGCTGCAGCACCTCCATTAGCGCGCGGCTGCCCGTCAGGCGGTCGTGGCTGGCGCCGCCGTGCCTGAGGCTGTAGAGCGCGCCTGCTAAACAGCTGGCTCCCACAGCCTCGAGCGCCTGGCCAAACCGCCGCAGGAGGAGGTTGTAGTCGAAGTCCCACAGCGGGTGCCAGGAGCCCAGGCGGGAGTCGCGGAGGCGCGCCAAGGCCCAAGCCAGGACCTGCTGTCGCGGGAGGTCGAGCACAACGGTATGGTCCATCTCGCCTGTCTTGCCTGGTTGCTGCAACTCTGCAGCATGCACCACTACTGACACGTGTGAGCCCGCGCTGGTGGCCGAGCCGAAAGGGCCTGTGAGCTGGGCGGCCCGCAGCGCCAGCGCCTCCGAGGGTCTCAGGTAGCCCTCGAACATCAGCATGACGCACAAGGCGGTCGCAAACTCGCCCTGGTGCGCAAGCCAAGCTGCCGCTGCGCGAACCACGAGCTCTGGAAGAGGCGGGCGCGAGCCTGGCGGATGCAGGCGCTTCCAACCCGCCAGCGAGCGCGCGAGCTGCGGGAAGCACCTCTACAAGGGCGCCACGTGGAGCTGCGGGAGCCCCCACAGCACCGCGGCGCCAAGCCTTGCAGCCGTCGCCCGCGCCACTCCCTGGTCGAAGGCCCACAGCAGGAAGTCGGCCAGCGCTGCGTCCCAAGCCGCCGCGGGCCAGTCGGGCAAGGCGTCCACCATGAGCCAGCCTGCCAGCAGCCGCAACACCTTCAGGTAGAGCACCTGAGTGGACGGCCGCACCTTGTTGGCTGCCAGAAAGCCCTGGCGGGGCAGCAAGCGGGCCCGCTCCTGGGCGGAAGGCGGCGGCAGCTGCGCTCTGCTCCTTGCGGATCCGCCACCACCAGCGGCTCGCTTCCGGGTCGGCGAAGCGCCTCCCACCTCTGGCAGGCTCGGCTGGCCGAACGGCGGAGCGGCCTGGAGCGCGCGGACCTTCTGCATGGCCACTGCCGCTGTGGCGCCTGAACTGGTCCCCGTGCTTGGGCCAAGACGGCTCCGGACCAGACTGGAATCGTCTTGACGGGCCATCTGCAGGGTTGAGCTCTGAGGGGATCCATCTGAACGTGACCTTGAGATTGCAGGCGACCGATATGGCATAGGAACAGCGGCAGCCAGACAAGAGACCAAAGTCGGACGCACGACCCTTTTCACGGGCGCAGATCATCGACATGTTGTCGCCCAAGCCCAGCAAGCGATGCCCGTGACATCTCGAATTGCGAGAGGCGCGCCGCAGCCAGAGAAGCCCTGCTGAGCTCTCTAGCCTGTGGGTGGTACTTTGGCGCCTCCACCTGCATGCAACAGCCGTGACCCAGGTCGCCTCCCGCAGCAGCTCGGCGCTCACCTCGGCGAAACCCGCCGCGCGCCCGAGCAGGAGCGCGGCTGGGTCAGAGAGCTCGATGCTGTCGGCAGCCAGGGCAGCGCCCCGCGGAGCCACCAGTGAGGCGAGGGGCCCGCGAAAGCGCAGCTTCTCCGGCTGCCTGCCAACGGCCTGCACCGCGCTCAAAGGCCAGCGCGCAGCGCAGACTCCCGCGCCCCAAGGCGACGCGTCAAAGGCACCTACCTCAGAGTGCCAAGGCCTCTTCATGTCGGCGAACACCGTGGGCAACGGCGCAAGCACCCACCTGAGCTCGCGTCGGCAGCTGGGCCACAGCGGCTGCGCCCTGTCGTAGGTCGAGCGGATGAAGACGTAGACCGCACTGAGGAGGCTGAGAGCCTCACGCCGCAGCAGCAGCAGCGCGACCACGTGCCCCACGAGCCTCTCCAGCTGGCGGCCCGTGATACGCCTTCCCGGCTCCAGCAAGTGCGAGATGCAGCCGTGCACCCTCCAAAACTTCTTGGGCGCGGGGCGCCACCTGGCGGCCTTCGAGTCCAGCGTGAAGCCGAGGAGGACGACGTCCAAGTCAAGCGACGCCCTGACGCCCTCACTGGTGAACGAGCCAAGCATGTCGTTGACCACCTGCACCGCTGTCTCGCGACTGGTGCTGATGGCCGCAAAATTGTCTATGTACAAGACCTTGGCTGCGGCTGAGCTGTCCGAGAGGCACGTCCCGGGCTGCTTGTCCACCAACCACTGGTTGCTCGGAGAGACCGAAGCCAGCACGTTCAGGTGGGCAGACTGCGCAAAGTGGACGGCCCAGTTCCATCCCATGGGAACGACCCGCACGCGGAAGGCTATCCTGGGCCGCGCCGCAAGCTCAGGCCCCAGCGCCTCACGCAGGCGGGCAGGCAGCATGCGGGTCGCCAGGCTCGGCAGGCAGAAGTAGTTCCTGGCCCATGCAGGCAGCACGTACTGGTAAGAGCAGACCTCCACGTCACCCGCAGCCAAGTGCACCTCCTCGCAGGGCGTGCACTCCAAGCTGCCGAGGGCGTCGCCGGAGGCCAAGTGCGTGTACTCGGGCGCCCTGAAGTGACAGTTCGCTCTCCTGGTGTCGAAGATGAGCCTCAGCTTGTCATCTTTGCGAGGCACGAAGAAGACGCCGGTCTCCTCCTTCCGTTCCAGCTCGCAGTCCAAAACTTCGACGATCCCTGCATCGTAAAGCTCGAGCAGGAACCGTCCGTAGTCAATGCCCCGTTGGGCCAGCTTGCCGTCCACGTAACACGTGACGTCCGCCTCCTCCAGAGCAGCAGTAGCCTCCTGCTCCGAGCGCAATAACCCGTGCCCGGACTCCAGCGCTGACTGCAGGTGCGGGGGCAGCAGCCGAACAAGATCGACACGCCCAGCACCGCCAGAAGGAAGAGAGACCCTCCCGCGCTGGTAGCCGGCTCTCGCCCCGATGGCTGGCTCATCAGCATAGCCAGGTCGAAGCCCCAGAAGCGCCTGGAACGCCTCCTGGTTGGTGCAATCCTCAGTCTTCGGCGGGACCGCGGCGTAGACCTCACCCAGATGCTGCAGCGCGGAGCGCTGCGCCAAGCTGAGCCGCCCGCCGCCGCCAGCCAACCGCCCTCCCCCACCCAGCTCGTTGAGCGCCGCGACGCCTTCCAGCATCCAGCGTTCCTGGCGCCTGCAGCGCGCGGCCTTGCGCCGCTGCCCCAGCGAGAGCTCGCCGTCGAGGGCCGAGAACCCCTTCAAGCACTGGAGCGCCTCCGAGCTGAGCGGGATGGGCAGCGCGTCTCTTTGCGTGAGACCGTCATCGCCAAAACCCAGCGAGGTGGCATCGTCGTTCAGCACGCCTCGCCCCCCCTGCAAACTCGCGCCGAGGCCGGGGGCATCCCGGGCGCGAGGGGGCGCCTCAGGCGCCACGGCCGCGCCCGCGGCCGCGCGCCTTAGCCTTGGCGCCCGCCGATGGTTCGCCAGAGGCCGCGCCGCCGTCGGCGCCGCGCTCCACCAGCCTTTCTTCTCGCCCCTTCCTGCGCCCCTTGAGGATGGCACTTTCCTCTCGGAGCTTCTCAGCCACCCAGCTCTCCAAGGCGGGGCAGACAAGCGCCGAGCCGCGGCCCCTGTCCTGCCCGAGGAAGATGGATCGCTCATCGAGCCAGGGTGCAGCGTCCTGGCCAGCCTCGGCCTCGCGCAAGCTCGAGGCGTACAGCTCCTCCCAGAGCTGATAGCGGCGGCAGAGGATCTCCACCACCACCAGCTCGCCAGCGTTGAGCTGGTCGTAGGTGGTGAGCTCCTGCAGCACCTCCGAGATGAAGTGGTGATCGTCCACGCCCGAGTCGGAAGCTGTGAGCCCCTGGATCGACCTCCACCAGAAGTGCCTCTGCAGCGGCGTGTAGCCCGCCTCCGAGATCTTCTCGAGCAGCCAGGCCGCGGTCCTCGGCCCCTTGATGCGCCAGTCCGCGAAGGGCGTGGTGGACATCTTGGCCACGGCGTCGTGGAAGGACCTGGAGCGGCCACCCGCTGGCGAGTAGAGCACCGGCAGCGTGCGAAGGTCCCCCCCACTGCTGGAGAGCGCGGCCGCCCCTGCCTCCAAGGTGTTGGCCACTGCGACCGCGAGCGAGATGCCCGACGCCAGCACCACGACCCCGCGATCGCCCAGCACGACCTGCGGCTGGCCACCAGCTCCCAGGAGCTCAGGCGGGATAGGGGTCCCAGCCGTGAAGCCCCCACGCGTCTCCGCCGAAAGCCAGACCGCGTCTGCTGGTGGCGCCGCGGGCCGCGGCGGTGCTGGGGCGAGGAGAGCGCCTGCCGCGCGGGTGCCCCAGGCGGCGCGGCCGGCGCCGCCGCCAGAGCGCCGGCCGCAGCCGCGCCTCCAGCCGCTGGCCCGGCGGGCCTCGCGGCGGCCGCCAGCGCCGCAGGGGCCGGCGCCTCCGCAAGCGCCTCCGCCTCGCCGTCGGCGAGCACCCCCCGGTGCGCCGCTGGTGCCGGCAAGCCCTCCTCCTCGCGGATGTCCGCTGCCATCTGCGCCGCCTCGTCGCACAGCTGCTGCAACTCGGCGCTGAGGCGAGCGTTGTCCACCCGCAAGATCTGCCCCTGTGGCCTCGGCACAGGAAGGCCGCCCCGAGGACCCAGCGGCAGCAGGCGGAGCGCCTGGGACATGTCCTCATCATAGATGTCCCAATGCGCGGTGAGCACCACGAAGCGGAAGTCCTGAATGTGTGCCAGCATGATCCTCTCATGCCAGAAGTCATCGCGCGGATCGTAGTAGGCGAGGGCCCTCGACCCCACCTGCAGGCTCTGCAGGCAACGCAGCGTGCGTTTTGCTGGGCTGCGGGCCGCCATCCAATCCTGGCCTCAGCGAGCGCGAGGCCCTCTTCCACAAGAAGCCGGCTGTCACTGCCGAGAGCACACCCGCGAGCAGCCCCGAGAAGAAGGTGCCCAGCGCGAACGACGGCTCGGGGCACTGCAGCAACGGACAGCTCGGGCACGCAGGGCAAGTGAGCTGCTCTGGACCGCAGCGCTCCAGCTGCCGTCCCAGAAGACTCACGATGTCGCTGCTGACCTGGCAATCGGCAATGCAATGGCAGTCGGGACAGCGTGCAACTGAAAGGAGAGGAACCCAAGGAGCGATGGCCTGCAATCCCCGCAGGGCCAAGTCCATTGAGCCAGAAAGACTATGGAGCAGGGCTGAAACGGAACTGTGCGATGCAAACTCGTTCAACAACGTACAACTGTCCGCGCGAGGGGGGGGAGCCGAAAACCGCTCTGGTTAGCAGCCCCCGGGAGGGTTCTCAGAATTCCTGGGGGTGTCAAAATTGACACCCCTCACTCAGATCGGCGGGGTCAGGGTCTAAAAACACAAAGGATTTGCCACGTTTCTGAAATTCGATGGCACCCCTCACGCAGATCGGCGGTCAGGGTCCAAAAACACTAGGGATTTGCTACATTTCTGAAATTCGGTGGCACCCCTCACGCAGATCGGCGAGGTCAGGGTCCAAAAACACTGGGGATTTGCCACATGTCTGAAATTCGGTGGCACCCCTCACGCAGATTGGCGGGGTCAGGGTCCAAAAACAAAAAGGATTTGCCGCATTTCTAAAATACGGTGGCACCCCTCACGCAGATCGGCGGGGTCAGGGTCCAAAAACACACGGGATTTGCCGCATGTTTTAAATTCGGCGGCACCCCTCACGCAGATCGGCGGGGTCAGGGTCCAAAAACACTAGGGATTTGCTACATTTCTGACATTCCGTAGCACCCCTCACGAAGATCGGCGGGGTCAGGGTCCAAAAACAAAAGGGATTTCCGCATTTTTGAAATTCGGTGGCACCCCTCACGCAGATCGGCGGGGTCAGGGTTCAAAAACACAGAGGATTTGCCACATTTCTGAAATTCGGTGGCACCCCTCACGCAGATCGGCGGGGTCAGGGTCCAAAAACACTGGGGATTTGCCGCATTTCTGAAATTCGGTGGCACCCTTCACGCAGATCCGTAGGGTCAGGGTCGAAAAACAGAAGAGATTTGCCACATGTCTGAAATTCGGTGGCACCCCTCATGCAGATCGGCGAGGTCAGGGTTCAAAAATAGATAGGTCCCGACACTGCTTCACGGCAAAGCCAAAGCCTCATGACTTCGATCTTCCATGGCCCATTCTCAGAGAGAGGGGGCCGGCGGCAGGGGGCGAAGCCCTTACGGATAAGAACGAAGTGGCCACAGCCCCAGCTCACGAGGCTTCCCGCGTGACGCCTGGGGCTTGTCGCATGAGAGCTTCTGGAGGCCAGGGAGCGCCAAGACGGGCCAAGAAAATCTCCGGATGGCCCCAGGACGGTCCAATAGCTCCAGAGCGCCCCGAGACGGTCCAAGGTGGCCTCAAGACGGCCTCAAGACGTCCTCAAGACGGCCCCAAGACGGCCTCAAGACGTTCCAAGAGGCCCCCGACGACCCCGCAAAAGGAATCCAAGAGAAACTCAAGAGGCTGCAAGCACCCATCCCCATCATGTTTTGCATGAGTTTGAAGTTCTAGTCTTTTCTGGTTTTCGACGCTCCAAGACAAGCCAAGAGACCTAACGGCCCAAGTGGCCCCTAAGAGAGCCCCAAGACGGCCTAAGACAGCCAGCGCAGGAAGGCACCAGTTGAGACGGCCTAAGAGAGCTCCAAAAGAGCCTTAAGAGGGGCCCAAGAGGGGGGGAAAGCGAAAGAGACTCAAGAGCCTTTTCTAGACACCCAACATGACCCCGAAAGAGCCATCAGAAGCGCCCAAGAGGCCTCGAAGCCCCAGAAGAGTTTCTCAAGAGGCCTCCAACAGGCCCCTCAGGAGGCTTCCCAAGAGATCCCAACAGGCATCCAACAGGTTTCTGCCACACAACCCAGCCAAGATGGCGGGATGGGCTGAAGGCCACCAAATACTAGCTGTCTAACATCAACCGCCACAGACCCTCACCAGTGGTCCAGTCATCGAGGGACTTCAAGAACTCCAAGAAGAAGAGGGATAAGGGAGGGATGGAGGGAGGGAGGAGGGACAAGCATGATGAGGAGGACTCCCCCCTCCTCAACCAATTCAGTAAGCGACCTCAAATGAGTATAGGGAAGATGAGTGAGACAATTCAGAGGCGCGGCCTCTTTTGACCAGAAAGCCATTGGGGGCGCCGATGTCAACAGATCAGCACCTAGGCCGGCGCCTCCGCAGCCACAACCTTTCTCGGCAGCACAAGCTGCGCGGGCGCCAGCTCAAGGACCACCTGCTAGGTTTAAGTCGGGCCTGTCCCCCTAAAGGAGGATTTTCGAGGGAAAACTCAAGACAGTCCAAAAATATGCCAAAACGGTCAAAAAATACTGGGAATTTTCTGACTATTCTTGCATATTCCTCCTGTAGAGGGACAGGCCCGACTTAATGCTGGGTCAGCGATTCCACAGCTCCGGCTCTTCTCGGCAGCCGGGCAACGGGAAAAGAGAGCGGGAAGAGGAGGAGGATGAGGAGGAGGAGGAGGAGGGAGGAGGAGGGAGGAGGGAGGAGGGAGGAGGGAGGAGGAGGGAGGGGGGAGGGGGGAGAGGGGACACCTGCTGGGTCAGCGATGCCACAGCTCCGGCTCTGCTCCGCAGCCGGGCAGCGGGAAGAGAGAGAGGGCGGGAAGCGGAGGAGAGGCGTCTGGCTCTCCGGCACGTCTGCGCGTCCGTCGGCGCGTGAGCCGGGCCATCTGCCAGTGTCTCGACACCCCAGAATTAGGTCGGGCCTGTCCCCCTACAGGGGGATCTTGCACCAAGAGGCCCCAAGATGGCCCCAAGAGGCCCCCAGGAGGCCCCCAAGAGGATCCCAAACGGCCCAAAGAGGCCCCCCCGAGGCACCCAAGACGCCGAAAAGCCCATCAGGACGACCCTCTACTCGCCTGGGCGTCGTTTCTGGACGGGCTGGTGGGGATACGCGAAGCGTGATGAATTAGGTCGGGCCTGTCCCCCTACAGGGGGATCTTGGAAGAAAATGATTCACTGCGTGGAGCTTCCCATATGTGCATCTATCCGCATGGACCCGTCCGCCGTGAACGTTTCGGCGCAAGAGCTTTCGAATATGAACGGGCTTCAGTTGTGACGGTCTGGTCATGAATCTAACTGAGAATGAATGGGAGTGTGAATGAGCCTCAGTAGTATGAGCGCGTCTCTGCGCATGAGCCTGGGTCCTCCTGGGGCCTCCTGGGGCCTCCTGGGGCCTCCAGAAACCTACTGGGGCGGCTTCCTGGGGCCTCCAGGAGCCTCTTGGGGCCTCCTGGGGCCTCCTGGGACCTCCTAGGGAGGATTCGTGCCCCAGGAGAGGCCCAATCTATAGCAATAGACGTACATAAAACATTGCGCATTGGAGCCACAGAAGAAGGGGGCAATCTATAGGAACACACGTAAAACACCAAGGACTCGTGCCCCAGGAGAGGCCCAATAGGAACATAAGTACACAGGAGAAGGACAATCTATAGAAACATACGTATAACATCAAGGATTCGTGCTCCAGGTGAGGCCCAATCTATAGGAGCATACGTAAAACACATGGGATTGGAGCCACTCCTGTTACCTTCTGAGGCCTCCTGCTCCTGGGGCCTCTCGGGGCCTCCTGTTGCCTTCCGAGACCTCCTGGCGCTTCCTCTGGCCTCCTGGGGCCTCCTGTGGCTTCCTGAGGCCTCCCGGAGCTTCCTGGGGCATCCTAGAGCCTGTTGGGACATCCTGTGGCCTCTTGAGTCTTGCTGGGGCCTCCTGATGCCTCCCGGCACCTCATGTGGTCTCCTGGGGCCTCCTGGAGCCTGTTGGAGCCTCCTGTGGCATCCTGAAGAGAATCTGTGCCCACGAGTCTGGTCACCGATCGAGACATCCTCAAAATCTGGTCCACCTGGGAGGTCAAAATGAGCGCCTCGCTCGAGACATCCTCCAAATCTGCTCCGAAAGCGAAGGATGTTGGAACAGAAAACAGGCAAACCGCTTGAGACATCCCCACAAAACGGCCGCGAACGGAACCGTGAGATAACCCCTGGCGGCTCCCCTTAGGGGGGTGATAATGAGCGCCTCGCTCGAGGCATCCTCCAAATCTGCTCCGAAAGCGAAGGATGTTGGGACAGAAAACAAGCAAACTGCTTGAGACATCCCCACAAACGGCCGCGAACGGGACCGTGAGATAACCCCTGGCGGCTCCCCTTAGGGGGGTGAAAATGAGCGCCTCGCTCGAGACATCCTCCAAATCTGCTCCGAAAGCGAAGGATGTTGGGACAGAAAACAAGCAAACCGCCTCAAACATCCCCACAAAACGGCCGCGAACGGGACCGTGAGATAACCGCTGGCGGCTCCCCTTAGGGGGTGAAAATGAGCACCTCGCTCGAGACATCCTCCAAATCTGCTCCGAAAGCGAAGGATGTTGGGACAGAAAACAAGCAAACCGCTTGAGACATCCCAACAAAACCGCCGCGAACGGGACCGTGAGGTAACCCCTCGGCGGCTCCCCTTAGGGACGTGAAAATGAGCGCCTCGCTCGAGACAGCCTCCGAATCTGCTCCGAAAGCGAAGGATGTTAGGACAGAAAACAAGCAAACCGCTTGAGACATCCCCACAAAACGGCCGTGAACGGGACCGTGAGATAACCCCTGGCGGCTCCCCTTAGGGGGGTGATAATGAGCGCCTCGCTCGAGACATCCTCCAAGTCTGCTCCGAAAGCGAAGGATGTTGGGACAGAAAACAAGCAAACCGCTTGAGGCATCCCCACAAAACGGCCGCGAACGGGGCGTGCGTGAGTCTCAGAATGAGTAAGTCGGAGTAGGAGTGGGTCTGAGTATGAGTAGGTCTGAGTATGAATAATTCTGTGTGTGAGTAAGTCTGGGTATGAGTAAGTCTGAGTTTGAGTCAGTCTGTGTAGGAGTAAGTCTGGGTATGAGGAGGAGAGGGGAGGAGAAGGAGAAGGAGGAGAAGTCGGCGGCGTCCAAGAAATAACAAGAAGCCCATCTTAGGATATCAGGGGGATCTTGGACGAAAAGTAATATATATATATATATATATACATATATATGTAATAGAGAGAGAAGGGGAAAAAAAATGGTCAAGAATAGATTCAACCAAAAACCTCCGGCCTATTTTGTTGACTATTTGGGCATACTCCTCCTGTAGAGGGACAGGCCAGACTTAACCCCAGAAGGAAAAGGGAGGGAGAGCCGCCTGCGTGCTGGCTCACAGGGGCGGGCGGGTCGGGCAAACACTGGCGAGACGAGCGCCGCTCGCTGAAGCAAGAATATTGGCGAGGCGAGGGTCAGCGGGCCTCTGAGAATGTTATCAGATAAGCTGGCAAGGCCTGGCTGCCGTTCTGAACCACGACTATCTCTGGGTTCGACAGGCTGTCCACGGTAGAGTTGTACCGCTGCTTCCCGCGCCGAAAGGGGAGCAAGCATCTCGTGCCGGTGCGGTCGGCACTGGCAGTGCATGGCATACCTGTGGCCACCAAACATAAGAATATCTGCTTGTCGCCCGTTGGGAGGACTGCAGCATACGGTGGGCTGGAGGCGTACTGGCCGTCAACAGCAAAATAAACTCCCGAACCCCAAACTGGACTGAAGGTTGATCCGGTCATCAACGGGTTGAAGCCATCCAGCCCATTTGAAATTGAATCTACTGCCCCCATGGTGCCTGGACCATGAAACAACCAACGCATGTGGATATCTGCTTTGAAGGGTACCTCTTGAAGCCTGAGTGACGTGACGAGACCATCATACTTCGCCTGCAAACTCAAGTGCAATGCACCATTTTCGATCCTCTGGACTCTTTTCACACAAGTGCTTCCCCAACCACCACTCCTGTCGTAGAGGCCAGTTCGTCTCGACTGCGGTGGTTCTGCCAGGAATATGTCTCGCACTGCGGCAAATTCCTGGGAGAGCTCATCCACGCTATGCAAACAGTTCTCACCATCACGCGCAAACGACTCCGTCTTCCAAAAGCGCTGTAAATATCCGGGGCTGAAACCAAGAAACTGTTCAGCGCGGCGGCGCGTATCCGTAACGAACCCTCGCCACGTCTCGATTAGGTGCTGGTCAGGAGAAGACAGTGGTCCAACGGATCCTGTAGAAATGGCGGCATCAACGAGCCTATTCAGCAGGTCGTGATGCTGCAAGGATTCCATCACATGCTGGTCGCCACAACGCAAATACTTCCCAGCCTTTGATACGCCACTGTCAGAAGAATAATACAAAAGATGTTTTTGCGAGTTGGTACCGCGCATCAACGCCTCCAAATCGTCCAGCGATCTTTGATAGACAGTGTCCCTGGAGCCATGGCAGACAACCACTGGTGCTTCGCTGGGAAAGGCATGGCAATTGGGGTGCACATTGATCAAGACTGCAGGTATGGTGATGCCAAGCCGCCAGAGCTCAAGCAGATAGCTGCCGCCCTTGGAAGCAGCAACGATGGCATCTGGTGCTCGGTTGACAACTTCGGTCACAAGCGTACCGATGGAGTCCGACATGCTGAAATTGACACTGGCGGGACATGTCAACCACGGCGTATGAACAAGCCAGCCTCCATCACGGAGAATCTGGATCTGCTGTGGGTTCGCACCAAAACCGAACCCTGGCCCGATCACCAGCACACACCGGTCACGACGCGGCAACCGGAAAATGGGAGTGGGCCCTATCTCGGATTGGACCCGCAACCACAGCGCCGGTAATCCATTTGCGCGGCAAGTGAGCCGGCGCATGCACAACTCAATTGCCATGCTTGCACGCAGGTTCCGGTCAAGCGTCGGAGGGAGTAACAGCCGCAGTCTCTCATATGCACATAAGCCCATAGCTTGCCGAAGGGAGCAAGACGGGGCGCTGTACTTCGACTGATCCCCCCTGGTCAGCTCTTGACGCAATTGAACAACATCGCCCCGAAGATCAGCCCGTTCAACGCCTACGCACAGCAATAGCTCGTTCACAATGACAGTGTCAGACAAGGTAGCAAGCACGGCGCCCCAGTCAGAGTCGCTCGACAGTAGATTATTGCGCAGAATAAGGGAGTGCATCAAGGCGGACTCATTTCTGACATCATCAACGATTTTGAGGTGGCAATTCGAATACATGGCAGTTTCGACCAACGTAATATCGCTATCAACTGTTCTGCAATCAGTGAGATGAATCGATGAAACGGAGGCTCCCGCGCTCTCGATGATGTACGCAAGACCCTTGCATCCTAAACCAATGTTGCGGCCGAGGTTCAATACGGAAAGGGTGGTGTTACTGAGCAACGCTCGGCTCAGATGCAGAGCCCCAATATCAGATATAGAATTGTCAGCCAAATTCAGTTCGTGTATGTGGCGATTCCCCGATAAAGCGGTGGACACGAACTTCATACCGTCATCCTCGATTCCGCAGCCCTGGCAGTGAAGAGCCGATAAAAAATCGCCAGCTAATCGAATGACTGTGGCAATCCCATTGCCCCCCAGTCTTGCGTTGCCGTCGAGAATCAGTTTGTCAAGGGTGGAACTGGAAGCCAAACCCACACAGAGTCGTTCCGCACCGACACCAGTCCGCCTGTGAGAAACACCAGTCGTGTGAGAGACACTCCCCCCCACCAGGCGTGTGAGATAATCACCAGAAGTGTGAGACACTCCCCGCCAGGCATTTGAGACACTCCCTGCCCCTCCCCCCCCCAGGCGTATGAAACATGTCCTGTGGGGTCTCTAGGCGTGTGAGACACTCCCCCCCCCACAAGCCAATCCCCCACCAGACCCCAAATCGCAGACTTTGAAGCGGGGGCGTTGCCGAATCCCGCCCGTTCACGACGCGGTCCTGGTTCCCTCTAGCCTCAATATCGCCCACTGTCGCCGACGGAGCCGCCAGGATACCCAAAATGGTGTTCAAAAGTACCCAAGAAGACTTAGAAGATGCCAAAGACTTCTAATATGCCGAAGAGACACCTACATCTACTCAAGAATCAAGAATCCCCAAGGGAATCTCTACGAGATGCTCCAAGAGGACGCAAGAGAGAACGCAGGCGATCCCAAAACCACAATAAGAGTGCACACTGTTCAACCAATGTCGTTCCCCACTCGTGTTTGGCCAAGCTAGCATCTAGAGTGCCCAAGAGGATCCGACGAAGGCCCCAGAGTGGCCTAAGAACGTCTCATGAAAGGCCCCAAAAGGGTTTTGGAGGAGCCCACCACACCCCGAACGCTACCCAAACGGCCCTAGAGAGAATCTGAATGGGCCCCAGTGGCCAACTAGAACCATCGCGCGCTTCGCGCGCGCTCAGGTTCTATGGAATCCCAGCTCGCAGTGAGATATCGACGGTTAGGCTACGGATTCGGATATGACCTCAACCCGAAGATTCCACCCCCCATGGCCTGGCCGCTGTTAACCCCTGGCCCTACTCAGGTGACGACGTTAAGGATATGAATGGTGAGAATGCCGTGAATGATAATGTTTACTATGACTACATGAATGCGCATGGTGAGAACGGTTCTGATGGTGATGTCGATGACGATGTGAGTGGCGATGATGAGCATGATGACAAGCATGAGGGCGATGATTTGGCCGATGACGGAGATGATGACGATAAGCACCGCGATGTTGGTAGTAATGGTAATGCGGTGGATGATGACGACAGAAATGACAATGGTAAAAAATACCGAAAATTCGGACATGACGACGATGAGAAAAATATGGAACGACAATTGTCATCATGGCGGTGGCGATGATGAACATGCCCTGATCATGACATTGATGCTTGTGACGGAGCGCATGATGATGTCTGTGGGTGGGCTGTGGTTTCGGATATAGCTGTGGCACAACGCCGCTGCAGGCACTCCCTTCCTGGAACACAGAGGCATTCAGGCGGACGACGAATATGATCAGGGGGGACCCGCCAGGCTCGGGCCCGCTGCGAGGCCGCGGAACGGCCACGCTTCAGAGCTCGTTTGACTAACTTTTTGGTTTTTGTTGGGGGGGTGTCTGGGGCCTCTCGGGGGCCTGTTTGGTCCTCTCGGGGGGGCCGCATGTCACCTCGGCGTCGGCGCTCCTCGGGAGGACCGCGCGGTGTCCGACACCACGGGGAGTGCTCAGCCTTGGACGATCGGCGGCCTTGCAAGCGCTCAACCTGTAAGGCCCGCGCCCTCTCAAGGGGGCCTCTTGGGGCGCCCTGCCCTGACCTTCCAGGAGGGCTAAAAAAATAGCACCAGGACGTCGACGTCCTAATTCCTGTCGAGGTTTGAGGCAGTCCAGATAGATCTATAGGTCCGGAGTGTTATCTTTTAACGCTCTGGAAGGTCAGGGTTGGGGCGCCCTGGCGGCGTGCTCGCCGTCTCAAGACCGTTCCAGGCTGTCTCGGAATTCGCTCCTGGGGCCCGCGAGCCGCCTCCCGGGAGGCGCCCTGGACAGCTTGGAGCCGGAAGGCTGTCTTGGCCCGTCGCGGGACGCCCTGGGGCCGTCCGCCTCGGAGCTCCGAGGGCCGCCCGGGCAGCGTTCGGGGAGGGCAGAGGACCGGTTCGCCAGAGGACCGGGTCGCCAGAGGACTGGTTCGCCAGAGGACCGGTTCGCCAAGAAGGACCGGTTCGCTTCGCCAAAGGGCCAATTCGCCAGAACCGCCCGTGCGCCAGACCCGGTTCGCCAGACCCGGTTCGACTGACCCGGTTCGACAAATCTCGGCAGACCCGGTTCGACAGACTGGATTCGACAGACCCGACTCGACAGGCCCAGGTCGCCGGATCCGGTTTTCCAGACCCAGCTTGACAGACCCGGCTCGACAGACCTGCGCCGGGAAGGAGAATGGACAGGATGAGGAGGAGGATTTTTTTCTGCAACATCAACGCCAGAGACCACAGGGTCAGCGGGGGGCCAGGCCTGGACCTGACCAGACCTGGACCTCCCGGCCGCGCTGCCGAAGAAGACGCGGAAGGCGTAGTCGACGCACTACGCCGGCGAGCCGAAGAGGGCAAGCTCCACGACCGCGAGCACGAGGAACCACACCAGGGCCTCCTCGAGCATCAGGAAGAGGGCGGCATGCCGAGGGCCCGCCTGACCCGCACCCGCACGTCCTCCTTCGCAGGCCCCCTGGACTCCCACGGCTCGAACTGCCGCACCTCGATGCCCGTCGCCGCCTCCGCGCCAGCAACAGCAGCCCCAGGCCCGCTCGGCGCAGCAGGCTCCGTCGAAGCCACGGCCTGCCCCACCTCCCAGCCGCGGCGCCGCCCGTTCAGCCCTGCAGCGCCGCCAGCGGCGGCGACGGCAGGACCCCCGCGTAGCAGTCCATCAGCCCAGGAGTCGTCCAGCTCGGCGTCGATGTCGGGCGCGTCGGCAGCAGCCCCAGCCACCTGCACGAGCGCGAGGCCCGCGCTGGCCGCCCCAGCGGCCGCCCCAGCGCCCTCCTTCTTCGCCTCGTTAGTCTCGGTGTCCAGCCCGGCAGCCGCGCGCCTCGCCGCACGGCGCGAGCGGCGGCGGCGCCGCCGCGCAGCACGCGCAGCAAGGTCAGCCTCAGGACGAACACCTTGATCCAGGACGGTGCCAGCGCCATCGGCGGGCGGTGGCGATCCCGAGACGGCGAACGCCGCCGCCGAGATCGCCGAGCGAGCCACCGCCGCCACCATGCGCCGCGGCGCCCCGAGCGCCCTGCGCACGGCCGCCTCGACGAGGCGGGCAGCCGTCGCAGAGCCCCTCTAGCCCGGCGCGCGGCCATCGCGGGGACGGCGGGGCGCGCACCAGGCATGCGAACGCTTGAGCCAAAATGGGATGAGAAGGAGGAGGAGGAGGAGGAGGAGGAGGAGGAGGAGGACGAGTGGGCGCGGAGGTGGGGAACGCCTGCCCGTTCAGGTTCCCGCGCCCCACCCGCCGGTTAGGGTCCGCCCGCCCCAATGGCTTGTTGGCATCTGCCCGCCCGACTGTTCCGTTACGGTCGTCGTCGCAATCGTCGCTCCGTGGTCGTCGTCGTTGCCGCCCTCGTCGACGTCGCGGTCGTCGTCGCCCGACTGGATCCGCCCGTCAGGTTCCGCCCGCCCGACACGACCCGCCCGTGAGGGCACGCGCGTGCCAACTCGATGATGCACCGTACTTTACCGTCCCGCCCGCCCGACCCGACCCGCCCGTCAGGGTCCGCCCGCCCGACCCGACCCGCCCGCGAGAGCACACGCGTGCCAACTCGATGATGCATCATACTCTACTGCCCCGCCCACCCGACCCGACCCGCCCGCGAGGGCCCGCCCGCCCGACCCGACCCGCCCGCTAGGGCGCGCCCGCCCGACCCGACCCGCCCGTTAGGGCACACGCGTGCCAACTCAATGTTGCTCATCTGTCCCGCCCACCGGACCCGCGACGCGCCCCCCCCGACCCGACCCGCCCGAGGGCACACGCGTTTCGAAATTAGGGCACACGCGTGCCCATTCGAAAACGCGTCATTTTTTCATGTCCCGCCCGCCCGACCCGACCGCCCGCGACGGTCCGCCCGCCCCCGACCCGCCCGCGAGAGCACACGCGTGCCAACTCGATGATGCACCATACTCTAATGCCCCGCCCACCCGACCCGACCCGCCCGCGAGGGCACACGCGTGCCGACTCGATGATGCATCAAACTTTACTATCCCGCCTACCATCCCGCCCACCCGACCCGACCCGCCAGTTAGGGCCCGCCCGCCCGACCAGGCCCGCCCGCCACGGCGCGCCCGCCCGTCTCGACCCGCCTGCGAGGGCACACGGGTGCCAGTTCGATGAAGAATCACACTTTAATGTCACGCCCGCCGGACCCGACCCGCCCGCCCCACCCGCCCGACCCGGCCCACCCGTTAGGGTCCGCCCGCCCGACCCTAGGATACACGCGTGCCAACTCGATGATGCATCATACTTGAATGTCCCGCCCGCCCGACCCGACCGCCCGCCACGGCGCGCCCGCCTGCCCCGACCCGCCCGCGAGGGCACACGGGTGCCAGATCGATGAAGAATCACACTTTAACGTCCCGCCCGCCCGCCCCGCCCCGCCCGCCAGGGCGCGCCCGCCCGACCCGACCCGCCCGTTAGGGCACACGCGTGCCAACTCGATGATGCATCATACTTTAATGTCCCGCCCGCCCGACCCGCCACGCCCGTTTGGGCCCGCCCGCCCGACCTGACTTGACCCGCCCGTCATCATCATCATCATCAGAAGCAGCAGCAGAAGCAGCAGCAGAAGCAGCAGCAGCATTACTATGATCATCATCATCATCATCATCATCATCACCATCATCGCCATCATCACCATCGTCATCATCACCACCACCACCACCATCATCAACATCATCACCATTATCATCCTTATCATCATCATCATCACCACCGCCATCATCATCAACAGCATCATCATCATCACCACCACCATCATTATCATATTCGTCATTGTCATCCTCATCACCCGCATCATCATGATCTCCAGCATTGCCAACATCATCGCCATGAACATCATCAGCACCATCAGCATCAAAACCAACATCATCATCATCACCACCAGCATCAGAACCACCAGCACCATCATCATCATCATCGTGATCATCATCATCAGCATCATCATAATC